CTGCCGAGGGCGTTCACAAGCACCGTGCCCCTCGAACGCAGCCTGGAGTCAGCCAGAGACAAGCTCTGCAGGGCCTGTCAGGAGAGAGGAGCAGTGAGAGAAAAGAGTGTGTGTGTGTGTGTATGTGTGTGCGAGTTTGCAATGTCTGTGATCTGTAAAAACAGTGCTTAATAATTGATCAAGCAAGGCGATATCTGCAGTGAGAGGACTACGTGCCCTGAAGGAGAGAGATTAGAAAGAAAGGAGAGAGAGTGAAGGAAGGACGGATGAATCACTAGTGCTGTAATACACACAGCAGACTGTTAAAAAGCTTTTGTACTCTGTGTGTGTGTGTGTGTGTGTGTGTGTGTTTGAGTCCTGAAAGTGTGTATGGTGCGTACGGGAAACTAAACCCTCAATCTGTGAAAACAAACATACGACGCTTGCAGTAATGCATTTACAATGGAAGCATAAAAGGGAAGCAGGCAGCAGCATAAAAGTGTTTGAAAATTAAAACTGAAAATGGTATGGTAGAATCACGTACAAACAATCTAGAAAGTTAAAACAACCTTTCAGCTTGAGTTTAATGTTTTAAAACTGATTACAAAAAAACAAAAACTGATTTTGAGATGTAGGAACATGGAAAGGGGGTAACAGCTCATATTGGACTGTTTATATGGATTAAACTCCACCCATATGAATGACTAACATATTTCATTAACATATAATTAGAATAGAACGCAACAGTGACTGCCCTTTTTTCAGCCATTTTAATTTTGGAAATATTTATAAATTTTCTCCATAGGGATTTAAATACAGTCAACAAATACAGTCATTTGTGAGTATAAAAACAATTTATTTGGAAAAATTGCAAAAAAAAAGAAAAAAAAATGTATTATTAAATTATAAATGATATATTATATATATATACAGTATATATGTATGTGTGTGTGTGACCCTGGACCACAAAACCAGTCATAAGTAGCTGGGTATATTTGTAGCAATAGCCAAAAATACATTGTATGGGTCAAAATTTTTAGATTTTTCTTTTATGCCAAAAATCATTAGGATTTTAAGTAAAGATCATGTTAAATTAAGATATTTTGTAAATTTCCTACCGTAAATAGGCCTATATCAAAACTTAATTTTTGATTAGTAATATACATGGCTAAGAACATAAGTTGGACAACTTTAAAGGCGATTTTCTCAATAATTTTTTTGCACACCTCAGATTTCAGATTATCAAATAGTTGTATCTCAGCCAAATATTGTCCTATTATAACAAACCTTAAATCAATGGAAAGCTTATTTATTCCACTTAAAGATGATGTATAAATCTCAATTTCGAAAAACAATTTCTGGTTTTGTGATCCAGGGTCAGCTATAGATATGCTTTTTGTATATATATATATATATATATATATATATATATATATATATATATATATATATATATATATATATATATATTTTGCACACCTCAGATTTCAGATTATCAAATAGTTGTATCTCAGCCAAATATTGTCCTATTATAACAAACCATAAATCAATGGAAAGCTTATTTATTCCACTTAAAGATGATGTATAAATCTCAATTTCGAAAAACAATTTCTGGTTTTGTGATCCAGGGTCAGCTATAGATATGCTTTTTGTATATATATATATATATATATATATATATATATATATAAAAATCTTTGATCAATTTAATGCATCCTTGCATTAATAATCCTTAATAATGTATTAATTTCTTTAAAAACTGACCTTTGAACTTTTGAATTGTAGTGTACATAATTGTGTGTAGATAGATAGATAGATAGATAGATAGATAGATAGATAGATAGATAGATAGATAGATAGATAGATAGATAGATAGATAGATAGATAGATAGATAGATAGATAGATAGATAATACATAAAGTAAAGAGACAGACTCAGTTACATTCGGTTTGCTGCAATTCTCTGATTGGTGGATGTTTCTTTTAAGGATTATATGTAGTGCACTTCTGCACCTGGACTATGTCTATTAAATATTATTTTTCTAAAATTATGTTGTAATTACATTGATTTATGGCTTCATCAAAAACATATACCATCGATTTATAACCTTATTTAGACCATTTAGACAGCTCAAATAATATTTTTACTGTAGACGTCATGTAAGTGCTTTGACAAAGTGTTTCACATTGCCCGTTTGCCTTCCATTGTAAGTGCACAACAGTAAACACATTTTTAGTTTTTTGGTAATCGTCGACATGCCACAGATGCTGCTGATAGAGATTAAGATGTATTGAACCTTTAAGCAAGACACTTATCTTCAAACCACTTCAGGCAGCCTGACTCTGCAGTCAAAATGCTTGATTGTAAGTCACTTTGGATACACACTTCTGCCAAACAAATAAATGTATACATATATCACTGTCTGCTCTATGATGTTTGCCTCTCAGTCCGGAAACAAGTACCTGCCCTTGATGTTAAAGTTCTTGCCCAGCAGCAGGTGTTTGAGGGAAGGGTGTCTGGAGAAGGCAGGAATGACACAGAGGAGATCAGCATCCAGCCCTGAAATGAATACAGAAATGTACAGGCAGAGTCAATAGCGACTGAAGCATATGCAACTGAGGGGAAAGAGACAGACTGAAGGTCGGTGGGAGCAGACAAAAGCTTCCTTTCATTTATGCAGTTAGATGTCTCACCGTTGTCTGAGATGTCCAGTGTGCTGATACAGGAGACTCTGGGGAATAGGTCCTGTACTATCCCTGCTCCAGCAGACCTGAGCTGAGAGGCAGACAAACGGAGAGAATGAAAAAGAGATAGAGAATAAAGGCACACGGGGCTAGATAGAGAGAAGGAACACTCAAAGACTCTAACATGTATAATTTATGCTAGCATGCACTCATATTTTTTCCAATAGCTCAACTGAAAGAGCATGGTGCTAACAACACCAAGGTCATGGGTTCGATTCCCAGGAAACGTATGTACTGATAAAATAGATCTTATTCCACAGTCGCTTCTGCAGTTTCACATTTAATTTATGGAAGCTTGTTTAAAAAATAAATAAGATAATTGCGACTTCTTGTCTCACGATTCAGACTTTTTTCTTGCATTTCTGAGTTTATATCTCAAGATTCTGACGTTTTTCCTTGCAATTCAGAATTGTGAGATATAAACGCAGAAATATAAACTGAGAAGAAAAGACAGAATTGAAAGATATAAACTTACAACTGCAAGAAAAAGTTGGAAATAACGATTACAATCAGATTACAATGACCTTTTTTATTTTATGCCGGAAACAAAAAAAAGAATGTATAAAGTGTGAGAAAGAAAGTCAGAACTGTGAGTTTATATCTTGCAATTCTGAGTTTCTATCTTACAATTTGGTAATTTTTTTCTTCATTCTCATGCAAAAAGTCTAAATTTGTAAGATAATTATTTCATTTTTGTTTTTTTTTATCTGTATCAGAAACAGGCTTTCATGTTAACATCACATCAAATCAGTGTTGGAATAGTTTTAGTTATTTTGAAACCCTGGGCTTGTTGTCACCTTTTACTCAAGTGAAGTAGTTTTTTTTAAGGTCAATTTGGTCAAATTGACCTTAAAAAACAATAAAAATTGTTGTGCTATTCTAAAATAAACCTAGCATTTTCATCAAAAATAAAGTAGATTCAGAATGACTCATCCATTAGAAATAGCTCTGCACATGTATCACCTTTTTATAGTACATACGGGACAAAGCAGCAATTTTTTACTATTTTAGGTCTATTTAGAATGTATTATTCCTTACTTTTGCAAAATAATACTGTAGCCTGAAATTTATAATAGTTCTATCAAAAAAGGTACCACTGAAAAAGTTTTTAAAAAGTTACACCGTTATTTATGTGAGGTAAATTGTCACACTTACATTGCATTCAAGATACACATTTATTAATTTTTTTATTAAAAACTTTATAAGGCAAAATTAAAGCAATTTATGAAACAGCAAACATGTAAAAAAAAAATTAAATAAAAAAACCTTAAAAAATTGTAATTAATAAATTGTATAAAATATAAATCCCTGACCTGAAGCCAATATACAAAATATACTGATATAGAAAATAAGCATTTGTGTAAACTGACTTTTGACTAAAACTTTTATGCTATGATACTGTATAGCCTGTGTGACAACTAGCCCCAGTCTCCTCTATACATAGTTCCATACGTAATTATTTTCAAATCCACAGTACAGAGATTCGAGGAAAGCAGCTGTTAAAATAGTTCGATTTGATTCGTTCCGAAAATCAATAAAACGATTTTTTGTGAGGTCAAAATAAGGCAATGCAGGCTCCACCGAGATAAACACACATTGCACTCTCAAAAGAGACCATGAAAGGTTTTCTGTCTGACTAATTCTGTAGCCGAGATATCTGTACACACAGCAGAGTGACCACAGACTGAAAGATTGCGGCTAAATCCAACAGAGAAAACGACAGGCATTTAAAGAGCTCAAGCCAGATTTAGGTCCACAATGGGGGGATGGGGTACCTCACAGCCGCTGATGTCCAGGTGTAGGTCAGTGATGTGAGGATTGGATGAAAGCCCAAGGAACAGAGCCCTGTGGAAGTGACAGTGAACAAACACAGGGACGTTGTCATTACCGACAGCATTACATGCCTCATTGAAGAGACTTAGCATTCTATTATGTGCTTCCATGGTTGATCGTTCAGATTAATTTCAATGCTGCCTACATGCTGAGATGAAATCTCGGTATTTTTGAAAACTGCAGTGATAACTAATGATTTTTGTATTTAAAGAGATAGCTCATCCAAAAATGAAACTTCTGTCAACACTCATAAGATAATTTGAGAAATGTTTTTTATTTGGCCGTACAGTGAAAGTCAATGGTCACCAAATGGTTTGGTTATACCAGCATTTTCTTATGTATTCGGCAGAAGAAAGAAAGACAACATGGAACAACATGAGGGTGAGTGACTGAATTTTCATTTTTGGGTGAACTAGAGTATGTAGCACTTGAATAGTAGAGATGTGCTCTACCAAAGCCAGGGTTAGCGTGGCCTGGGTTATCTTGTGCCATACAAGTCTAAAAACAGCTTAAACCAGCCTAATGTAGTTAGCTTATCTCCTAGAATGTGAAAAGCTGGTTTGTTGGATTTAGAGAGGTTTTGGGAAATTGTGAATTGGTCAGACTGGGAGACCAGCTGGCTAACCAGCTAGGTCGTGCTGGGAAACCAACTAAGCCAGATTAAACTAAGCCAGGGTTAAGCACAGCACAAAAAGCCAAAATGGCGACTGGACTCACCTCAGCACGTCGGGAGGCATCTTCATAGACGCCAGACTGATGTGAGTGAGGCTGAATGCTGAACTGAAGAACTGACGGAATGAAGGAAGTGTCTCTCTCACTTTCCTAAAAGTGTGAGAGAAAAGAAGGGGAGACTTTTATCCATAACACATCATACCACACTTCACAAAACCCCGAGCAATACGGCAGAACAAGGGCTCAAAAGAATACCCTCTGGCTTATTATAAAATAACTGGTTTGTAACTCTATTATGTGTTAAACATTTTAACAACGTTCAACATTTTAACAAGCTGTCATTGGACCAAACAAACAATTATTTGGGTGGGCTAGAACTAGATGGGGAAAATGAGAAAAAGAGAGAGAGAGAGAGACAGTCAGTGAGGGATACTGGGGGGCTAAAAACATGACAGTTCATGATAACACTTTTGCGTTTGACAGTGACATTATCATTTAAGAGAGAGAGAGGGAAGAATGTGTGGTGTAAATGTGTTAACAAGAGTAGAGAGTGTTAAGGGAACATTCCTATTTAATATTCATGAGCTCTCTGTCTTATCAGCTCAAACAGATTTACATTGCTGCCTTCACATGGCACTGGCCTAGCCAGATTTACTCACACACACATGCCCACACACCTCTCACGGAGGTGCCCATGTGTGCGGTGGTTCTGTGTTTGGGTGTGCATGTTTCTGCGTGCTTACGTTAACAAGTGTGGGAGTTTAGGTGGGAGTTTTTGAAAGGATGAAATTAGCACTAGGAAAAAGAGGCCATGCTCACTATAGCATACTAACACAGTACTCTATAATAGTGCTGCAGTGTATACTACGTATACTGAGCACAATATGCAATGACCCACTACATTTGCCAAATTTAGAAGGCCCAGAGTGATAACTATAAGGAGAATATATACTTATATTAGCGTTCACAGCAATGCACGATAACGTTAAGTGCTACTGTGCTACTGTTTTGTCCTCTACCGCTTTAAGTGCTCAATCTCTTTAAAGTGGGGTGGATTCTGATCGGCTATCAATGTTTTTATCATTAATCAGCCAGAGAAAAAAATTTCTGAAAGTGATTCCAACAATATTGTTCCTGTGTGACATGAATGATACCAAACGATTACAGTAATATTGTTTCTGTGTCTTGCTAATGGCCCTTTATACAACACAGCACACTGGTGGCATCCAAAATCACAGACTTCTCAACTATATTGTAGGCGAAAAACAGTATGTGACAAGAGAAGTATCTCCGAATTCTAGGGGTGTAACGGTACAAGTATTCGTGCCGAACATTTTCAGTACGGGTCTTTTGGTTCGGTATGCATGTGTACCAAACAAATACTTTGTTTTAACCACTAAACGAGTGGAACTTCATTGGAAACTTCCAGTTTTATATATTGCTATTTTTGATAAGAAACAAAGTCTCATTTTCAAATTATGTAATTTTTTTCAGGAAATGCAAACAATAAATGCCGTTTCGATGCTCTTTGATGTGGCGAGACAGGTCGCTGTATAAACGCCTCAGTTCAAACGGCAGTGCGGAGCGCGAGTGAGTGTGATCATCCGTTCCACTTTACCACTAGTTTTAATGCGAAATAAACATGAATGAACTCATGCCTCATGTAATAGTTCAATCTGTGTTTCAACCACGGCAAGATTTCAATAAAACAGCTTGTAAACAAAATGTCACGTAACATTTCATTTATCTCAGGCAAGTCATCAGTGTCCACAGCTCATTAGTTCGCTAGAGAAATGAAGTGCGAAGAAGAGCATTTTGCGAAATATTAGACTATATACACATCACATTTTATTTTACCTGTTAATTATGCCTTAATTATTTAATAAATAAATGTAAAAAAATGTTGTTGCAACTGAATTTATTTAAAGAAAGAGCAATTTGTTCAGTTAACCACTGTTTAATAAAAAAAGCAGTTTTATGTTTAGTTTTTCCCCCCTGCTGTACTGACACCATACCAAACCATGACGTCAAAACCAAGTTACGTATCGTCATGTTTGTGTACCATTACACCCCTACCAAATTCACAGTACCCAATAAAAAGTATGTGACAAGAGCGTGATTTGGAAGTGTGCATACGACGGACACTTTACTATCCCATGAGGCCACGGGAGAGGATTTATGAATGGCAGTGACACTGGTAACATGGTGAATGTAGTACGTTCAGATTACATTCATACTATATAATAGAACATACAATTTTGCGGACGCGAGTTAATTACTTATTCAAAAAAGCAACTACTCAAGAGTATGCAATTTTGGATGCAGCCACGGTATAGAATAATGTATCCCACAATGCAATGCATTTGACTTTAACTTCCATTTTCTGTTAGATGAATGAACTGGAAGTAATTATGTTTATCTGTTCTTGACTCACTATTTGAATCATACATTTTAACACAGGTCAATGCCGCATACTGCACAAGGTGTTCTATTACACTAACTATTTTCAACAAATATTACATAAACAATATTGCACTACTGTACAGCATTTAGGATGTAGTAATCTAGTACTTCAATCCCAATGCGAGACTATTTCAATCTTCAAACACCCAATAATCTACAAAAACTTATCCCTCTGCAAATTCAAACCCAATTAAGAACAAACACATTTGCAGGAGGTACAAAGGATGAAGAAACCTTCCAATTTGAACAATAAGTTCAGCTAAAATTAGCCTCATTTTTCAGAGAGTTTCTCATAATGCCGTTAACGTGCCGAGAGGGGAGATGGAATTGCTGTTCAGGTTTAGAGGGAGTCAGACAGGAAGATGGATCATTGTATTTCTGTTTCTCCTCAGCCTACAGCTTCTTTTCACATGCAGGCACATGCACGTTTACTTGCAATATCACAGACTTCTGTTGTAAAGCTAATTAGAACTACTAGATTATTGTTAGAATAAAAAACATTGTTTACTTAATTTACGAGTTGTTTTTCCAAATGTTTTTATTTAGCCCACTTTTGGAAACAATTTCGTCACACAAAAACATGTTTTCTTCTGATGCTGTTATAGTGGCTGTATTACCATCTGTGCAGCATGCAGGTCCATCAGCTCTATCTGATCACTCATGTCCCAGTTTAACTCATATTGCATCTCTGCAGGCACTCTTCCCTGCTGGGAAACCCATTAAAAACCAGCCTCTGATGATAGATGAATCCAGCTGGAAAGCTGATCTTTTATGCTTACTAACAAGTCCAAGCTGGTCTAGATGGTTGATCAGAAAAAGTATGAGTAGACTTCTGGTAGGAGCTTATTTTAGTATCAGAGATAATATTTTAGTTTTTATTAATATTTTGAATTAGTTTTTATATTTATGTTTTCTGTTTTCATTTTCATTTTAGTTAAAGTTTTTGTGATTTTATTGTATATATGTAGTTTATATTACTTTTTTGTCTTAGTAGTTGTATTAATTTTTATATCAGTTATTTAAGTACATCAAGTTAAACACAATGAAAATGAGAAATATTGCCTTGGCAACTTACTGAAACAAAATAAGTTTAATGTTTTTGATATTTTATTTTATTTCAGTTAAAATGTATTTTATTTAAAGCTGCAGTCCATAAATTTTTTTTGGTTAAAAATTATCTGAAATTAATATTTGAGCAAGTACATAACCAGCCAGTGTTCAAAACTATTGCCTTACTTTAGCCCGATTCACAATGGTTAGCTTATAATAATGTTTTCTCATTTGAGTGGTACGGGTAGGTTTTCGCGGGAAATCCGAGCATGGCACTGCGTCATTACGTCACGTCTGTAAACATAAAGAAGTTGTCCCGGCTACTAGGCTATCACATGTGAGGATCCTGCAGGTGGCCAATCGTTTATAGCCTTTTCTCACAGCAGCTAGAATAATTAGATGTATCATTTTGATGAAGGATTGTAATCCAGAAAGGATTATGTGTTTATGAAACACATGTGAGTGAAATTTAATTATATTCCAGGTATAAACGCGCTTCTGATTACAGATAGCCTGGGATTACAAAGATTTGTATTTTAAAGAAAACCAGTTTGAAGGGAGCATAATTAGTTTTTTGGGTTAAAATAATTTCTTAATATGAAATTCGAAGAGTATGACAATTAGATTAGACTGTGCAGAAATTGAAATCTACACACTAATGCACACTATACTCATAGTCACCAATGCTGATGTTGTTAACATTAATCATTTGAGAATAAAGTATAACAATAATAATAATTTGAACGGTTTGATGTGAAATGAGCTAACCGATCTTTAGATTTAATCACCAATGGTAGCTATATTTATGGTAATGCTTTTTCCTCAGTTGGTCAGAACAAACGCGGCAGACTTGTTACTAACTTGTTCAGATGACAATATACGGTGAGAATTCTTATTTGGGTCATATTCCAAGATGTCGGCTAGAATCTGTGATTGCGAAGTACAGTAAATATCCACACCAATGCGGTGACTGACTGCCACACATACTCTTCAGAACATTAGATTCATCCGCGCTGGAGCCGCGCCAACTCACAACCCACGCAAGCTAGATAATTCCGCACTCAGCTCCAATTCCAGGTTTTCAAACAGAGATGGCGACAAAGAGGCAAAACTTACAGACTGCAGCTTTAATTATTTTAAATAACGAAAATGTTTTAATGATTTTGGGTTTAGCTTACTATAATAATCCTGGTTCTGTACTTTTTTGTTTCCAATAACAAAAATATATCTAAACATTATTTTTTTTAAAACTATATAGTTTCTTGCAGGGTATATACAGGAATCATGGAGTTAAATTTAATACCTTTTAAGACCTTTTTTAAGACTCTTTCCATACATTTTAAGACCTCATCGCCACTCCAAGTTTTAACCGGTTACATCGGCGACACTTTAACTTACATTTATTATATATTGACTGTAAGATAGCACAACTAAACAGACTTACTTTGTGATAACTCCTTATCAATACAACATAATTCAGAAGGGGGGAACGAAGCACAAGAGAATTGAGTGACTAACCAATGCAACCCAAGAAACCAATAAAGACCAATAAACAAAACAACTGACAAAACTTATTGAGGAGGGAAAATAAAGGGGCAATGAGTTCATGCAGTATATTCAAAAGATGTATTTGTCACATCAACTCTTATAACTGTCTGCAAACCATAGCTGTTTTGTGGAACACTTCTCATGTCAAACATCTAACTGATCAGACAGTTTACCTGTGATTACGGAGTGCTTGATTTGATGCAGACTTGACAGAGTGTCAGAACTGCACCTAATCGTGTCTGAATGATCATGGAAGGTAAAATAATGATCACAACTATTACATCATTTTAACTGTGCATGCCCAAGCCCATGCCAGTAAAAAAAACAGCCCAAAGTAGCGCAATTACCATGTCCCAAATATAAAAATGTAATTTCCATCCCTAAAATACATATTTTACAGTCACTGTTATGCACATTTATCATAAACACAGCTCAAATGCTTCCTACTAGTGTGGCCCAAAACATTTAGCAGTTTTATTACAGGTAGAATGCAAAATGTTTCAGTACAAGCATTTCAACCTAATGTAATTTATGCAGTATTTCAAACCTTTAACCCACTGGGGAAAATCAACCCATGGCAACAGTTTAAAAGCAGTCCAATTTCGTGGAAAAAACAACAACAACCCTGCATCCAACACGAGCTGCAGAAGTCAGATTTGACTGATCATGGGTCAAAAGTAAGGAGAGATAACTGACAAGATGTTGGAGGATTTGCTCCTCAACAGATCCTGAGCTCATTGACAAACATCTCTTATCGTAAGATGTGCTCCCTTTACACAGTGCGCGCCTGCCACGCCAGATTGCGAAATCGCATGTATATGTAATATTAAACTATCACAAATTATATTTGTTCGAATAGTGGGGTTCTGTATAGTTTATTTATGGAATCCCGCAAGATTTTACGTCATCTGTTAAGGCGCTCACTGACGACTGCGAGCGCTCATTCAAAAGGATGTAAATACCCCACACATTGATAGCGGTGCCCTAATGCGCAAAAATTATATACAGTATTAGAATATTTGTGGGAGCGGACACAAAAATCGTGGGAGCGGATGGGAGCATGCTGTAATGGTCAGAAATTCAGCGAGAGCGGGATCAACAAGCCCCACGCTATCACGCAGCGCCGCAGTCAGTCAGTGAGCGCCTTAACAGATGACGTAAAATCTTGCGGGATTCCATAAATAAACTATACAGAACCCCACTATTCGGACAAATATACATAATGAAAAGATTATACAAAATGGCATTTAAGACTTTTTAAGGGCCTTAATTTTCTCTAAATTGATTTATCAACTTTTAATACTTTTAAGACCCTGTCTTGAGAAGAAAAATATTAGCAAATTGTTTTTCTTGTTTTAAGCATAAACCTCAATAAAAATTTATTTATTTATTTATTTGCAAGAAATTATTTGCATTTGCCATAAGAAAACTAAACTTGATAGAAAGACATATTATCTGAAAATAAGTCTTAATATCTTCAGAAATAAACTTGCATCTGAAGTAAATATCTTGTTTCAAATATGTTTTGATATTTTACTGAAAAACAAGACAAAATAATGATTTTTCTGTGTGAATACCATGGGCATTTTATATACAGTAGTCATTTCCAGCAGGATTCTACTTTTTCACCTTAAGTGCTTCCTGAGGAACTGACTGAGATGAGTCAAACTGATGTGCGTGGTTGAAGCAGGCAAGTTTAGCTCACCTGTGAGGCTGACTCAAACGTGACAGATTATCATGCGAGAGCTGGTGGGTGGCAGTTTAGCTCACCTGTGAGAGAAGGAGTTTTTGGACAGGTTCAAGTAGGAGAGATCGGCACAGCAGCCCCGCAGCAGAGCTCCAAATAACTGAGAGGAAACGGAAAGAGGACACAGAAAACAGAGAGGAAAAAATAAAGAGTGAGGGAAGGAGAGTGGCAGCAAAAGAATGACTAACATTAGTATAATTCTGCAATTTAGGACCATTAAATGTGACAGAAATATCAATATAAAATCAGAGACAAATTGTTGTCTCGCACCCTGGGTGCAATGACATAAATCATGGCGAGTAAAAAGCAGTTTGGCAATAACAAATTCAGAAGGATGAGACACACTGTCAACTCACAGAATCTATGGTACAGTCAGTGCCTGACAGGTCCAAATGCACCAGGCAGTTCGGCTGTGCCAGGAACAGGTACAGATTCTACAATGAGGAAGTGTATTGAGGCTGTTAATAGCAGTGTGTATGTGTGTATTGTCTGCCTGTCTCTGTATGTTGGAGTTATTTTCAGCAGCTGTGTTTGGTCCTCACAAAGACAGCAAAACCCCAAAAAACTTTACGAGAAGCTGCCTAATGGTCCCAATGATGAAGACAATGCTTTATAATCTGAATACATAATCCAGATAATCTAAATACATGTATTTTAATTAAAAAATATACATATTTTTGTCAATTTTTTTTGTATAGCTTATATATATATATATATACATATATACATACATACAGACAAAAAAAATCAATAAATTATGCAAAATTGACACAAAAATATGTAAATACATAAATATCTGTATTTAATGCTGCAGTTCAACTCTAAGCACTAAAACACTACGTTTTCCACTTATATAAGTTATGGTGTTATATAATTACATATTGGCCCCAGTGTATCAACTTTTTTATTAACTTGTTGTGTAAGTTTAACCAGTTTAAATTACGAGTAGCTTGTATCTAGAAATGTAAGCTTATTCATTGCTTCCCAAATACTGCGCTAACCACTACACCACAACTTTAACTCTATATATATATATATATAGTATATATATACTATATATATAACTACAGAATACTAGAAGTAAAAGTGAGATAAAAACTGGTTCTAACCGTTGCATCTTCTCCAGACAGAATCCCTGGGTTCTTACTCAGGTCCAGATGAAGAAGAGAGTTGGAATAGTCATCACTGGAGCACAGGGCCTGTGAAAGAGACGTGACACCTGCGAAGAAAGGCTGAATCACACAGGAAATCTAAAGTCCACTGGAGAACATGCTTCTATTTTGCATGTTTTAAATGTATATTTTTTTTCATTACAAATTAAATTACCAGCACAGCAATTTTAGTGAAATTGGGGGGGGGAAATTGGGGAATGTCTTTGATATTTGCAGCATGTTGACCATTTGCTTTAATGGCCTCATAGGTTTCAAAACCAGATAATCATATTCTCTCGCAAGATTTGAGAATGATAAAACAAGCATCTTGAGCTTTAATGGAAGCAAAACATCTGAGTGTTTGTACAAAGGAGTTTGCATGATCAATGTCACAAATATACGTATTTGGTTAGTGTTGACATTTCTTCAAATCCCTAACATTTCTTTGTATTTCCAGGATTCAATTATATTTCAAATCCCACATTTTCAATGTGGCCTCAGACTTTTGGACTGCACTGTATATGACCACTAAACCACAATAACACACAATGCTCTGTAAGCAGAGTGCATTTTCATTTTGTTTCTGAATACATGAAGAAAATGCTGGTGATTGCCTTTTGTAGAGTGAGACAAAAAGACAGCTCAACTAACTCTGTTAGGTGGCAGCTTGCCAGTGAACTCAGCCAGTACGCTTTCTCACCAGGGAGTAAGAAAAACATCCCATTGCACTCTCTAAAAGGAGGAATTTACTCATCAAAATGTTAACCACCGCAACCTTTCATGATCCAGTAGTCTTCGGTTTTGCTTTTATGGTTGTTGTAGTTCATTTTTTGATGTGTAAATTCTGTTTTTACTGCTGATAGGATGCAGATTTTACTTCAAAGTTCACTCTAAATCCCAACCGGATGTGGCAGATGCCAAAATGAAACATCCCAGTTTGAAATGAGTTGTATTCTCTCATGGCACACGTTCATCTAAGTTCTGTATTCAAAGTTGAAACTTCTGCAATGAAGTTGTCACAAATCAGATTACAAATAAAGATTAATGATGGGAGCTATTTCGAGTGGATGTTGATTCATGGCGCGTGTTAGAAGGCTATCCATCTATCCACTCGGTTTAAAACTGTATTGATTGAAAGAGAAAACCAGAGATGTAGCAGACCCTGGAAGCAGCCAATGATGCTGGTAATTGAGTCTGGGCTCTGTAAGAGAAGACTGGCTCTTTGGTCATGACTCTGAAGCTCTAAAGTCAGATGCAACTAATCCATCGATGATCTTACTGATTTAACAGAGAACAAGAAGCTGATTCTAGATCAGTGGAGTGAGAATCGTTATTTTTACAGCCTGAAATGCTACACAGAGATTGTGTACCAGTGTAAGCTGGATAGATCTGCTATGGCCTGTGTGTGGGATAGACTGGTTTCACTGTTTTGTTTTTGCATCAAGTTCATGGGTGTATAATTAATGGAAAAGAATGAAAAAAAATTTTTATATTTTAGTTTAGTTTATATTTTAACAAGTTATTCTGAGCACACAAACAACCCCTCTTTTATTGAGTACTCAATAAAAATATAATAATATTAATAAATATAATAAGTATAAAAATACAAAACTATATATGAATACACATATAGTTTTATATTTGCATCATACATGAATATATTGTTTAATATTATTATTATTTTTTGTTTTCATATTTGATAATCTTTGTTTACACACACACACACACACACACACACACACACACACACATATATATATATTATATTGTTTAATATTACATATTACATATACATATATTTTTACATGTGTTTTAAGATTTGTTTAATTGTAAGAACAAATATTATTCTTATACTATATATATATATATATATATACATATAAAATGTATTAAATATTTAAAATGTAAATATTCCTAGAACATTATTATAGATATATATAAATGATATAGTTACATAATTATATAAGTTACTTATATAATTATATTTTGAATAAATGTGTATGTGTACACACACATATACATATATATAATATGAAATCAATACCGGTATATTAATATTTGGTTAATTGTACCTACAAATATTTATATATATATTTTTTTTTTTTGTTTTGTTTTGGTTTTTTTTACTTAATAATTTCAATTTTAAGTTAGTGTAGTTATGGCATCTACCAGCAAGGGCTAATTGGACACATGGGCCCGTATTCACAAAACATCTTAAAGGTCTAAAAGTAGCTCATAACTCGCCGATTTGGTAACAAAATCTTAAAAATAATGGGCGTGTCAGTCCTAAATTTTTGTTCTAAGAGTATTCCACAAAGCGGTTTAGCGCTAAAACTAGCTCTTTAATCTGTGAAACGTTAGGAGTAGTGAAGAGGACTCCTAAGTCACTAAAACCAAATCTGAACTATCCTAAAATAGCTGTTGCCAGCAATCTACCTCGGAATATAAACATTTTAGAAACATTTGACGATAATGAGCTTTTAAAAAGGTATCGGCTTTGGTTTGGAGGTTATCCCAACTCCCGCGCTTGGGCTACAGCATGACAGATGGAGGCGCTGTTGCAATCCTTTGCTCTTAAAATACTTCATCATTTTTGGTCATACAGATAAGAGTAATGCATCTTTTGTATCTGTAAAGACTCTACGTTTATTCCTTAGTAAAAGTTTGTCTCAGCAGCTTTGTGAACAGGTTTTAAGAGAAAACTCTAAACTAAAAAATGTAACTGATATTTAGGAGAACTTAGTGATAAGATAAAATGTTTTGTGAATATGGGCCCTGATCTCACATGAACTTTACAGGCTTCTATGTAATGCTTGTTCAGACCTCTAGTGAATGGTAATTGTGGGATAGTTGTTATAGACTTAACCAGCAGAGGGCGCTAAACCTCTAGGGACACATAGCTTCTGCACACACCCTTTGAAGAGAGCGACGTCTTGGAGAGGTTCAGTAGACGCAAGCCTTTACTGAGCCGACACACCTGCTGGATAAGGTTAGACACCCCTGTAAGGAAATATACATTCACAAACATTAGATCAGTCACAGACCAATTTACACACTGCATATTATCACGCACCTTCAGGCAAACACTGACATTGTTGTAGTTACGTTCACACATGGACACTTGTGATGTGAACAGCACTGACATGTGTCGGGCATGATAGCAGTCTGAAAATCTGACACTGATGCATATAGAGGACATATCCGTTTTGGGGAAGCTGCTTCGAAACTGTAGTTAGTGACACCATAAGCTACTGACAAGAAGTATCTAATTATACTGAAGCTAGGCTACATAAAAAGGGAAGTATCATTTATCAGAATACATATATTGTCATGCTATTAATATATAGTTAAGATGGTAGCGTTACATTTACTGTACAGTACATTCAAAACTACACAAAACCGCACACATTAGAAAAAGTAGAGCACACGCACATCTCAAAGAACCCATTTTCAAATCAGCAACAGATACAGCACAATAAGTCAGCAAAGCAGAGACAAGAAGAACAAAAAAACACCCACTCAAGAGACAGAAATAGCAGATGCACATGCTGATACAGAGAGTGTAAAATCAGACAAAGGCAGGTAAATAGACAGACTGGAGGGGAGAGAGAGGTATAGCAGAAAAAGAGAGACTTTGATGCATGTACCTTGGTTGTCCAGTGTATTGTGGGCCAAGTTAATGGAGTGTATGACTGATGCTGGGTTTTCTGCCAGGGCAGTGGCCATTTTCTGTGGGAAATCTCTAAATGACAGAAAGAATGTGAGTAGAAACGGAACCGCAATACAAAGTATTGCACTCTGGGACAGAGATGAAATACGGAGGCAAGGATGTGGCAGGGGAATAAGACTGGGAACGGCATAAAGGGAAAAATGACAGTGACAGAACAAGAAACTAACTTTTAGATGAAAAGAAAGAGAGTAAAATGGTCAAAATGATGAATAACAGAAAGAGAGCAATAGAGAGATTTATAACTTACGCTTTAAGGCCCACATTTTCCAGCGTGAGCTCCTCCAGACTGCTGGATTTACTGACAGTGTGCAGAATCTGTTCTACGACCTCTGAACTCTGTGTGTGTGTGTGTGTGTGTGTGTGTGTGTGTGTGTGTGTGTGAGAAAGAAAGAGGGGGAAAAGAAAAAAGCGTTAGAATTAAATTCTTAGGAAGACCCACCATAATGACTGTAATTGCATGCATACAGACACAGATTTTAGGCAGGAAAATCTATTTATATAGGTTTATATAAAGTTTATAATAGGCTGAATGTATGTGTTCGAAAATACAGTAAAAACAGTACAATTTGAAATAACTGTTTTATATTTTAATACATTTAAAATGTAATTTATTCCTGTGATGGCAAAATTGCATTTCAGCCGCCATTACTCCAGTCTTCAGTGTCACACGATTCTTCAAAAATCATTCTAATATGCTGATTTGCTACAGTTATTGCTTATTATTTGTGCTCAATTATTAATAATGGTTATTAATAACTGTTTTGCTGTTCAGTATTTTTGTGCAAACTGTCATACATTTTTTTCAGTGTTCTTTGATGAATCGAAAGTTCAAAAGAACAACATTTATTTAAAATATTTTTTTCTAAATGTCTTCACACTCACTTCTGATTAATCGAATGCATCATTGCTGAACAAAAGCATTCATTTATTCTTTTTTAAATCTTACTTACTCCAAACTTTTGAATGGTAGTGTATCACGGTTTTCACAAAATGCCGCAAAAACATTGATAATAATAAAAGATCATTCTTGAGCATGTGTAATAATATTTCAAATATTAAAGTTTTTACTGTATTATTCATCAAACAAATGCAGCCTTGGTGAGCAAAAGGGACTTCTTTTAAAAACATAAAAAACCCTAATTACTGGTAATGGTACTGAATGAATACCATATTCATATAGCAAGGTATGATAACAATGTTACTTCAAAGAATATGTTCGTATTACTATCAAATTAGTTTCCAAAACAGCATGTAGGTACAACCCTGATAATACCACAGCACTATTTTGTACACAAAACAAACAAAAACAGAAGAAAAAAAAACAGGACTCTCTGGAAATTAAGAAGGTCATAAAAATATATTTACAATGCGCAAGTCTTTGCAATAAAGTTTGGTGAACCATGAGTTATACGCCATGGCCGCAACAATCACCGCAAGGTCCCTGTGACAAAAAGAGACACAGAAGAGAAAAATCTAAACAAATTGTCTCAGTGAAGTGCTGCAACAACCAGAGGCATTCTCACTTTCCTCATGCAAGCCCTCATAAGATTTCAAGCTCCCCTCAAGACTAAAATAGAGATGTTATTATTCAAGAAAAATGATAGATTCAGCAATAAATGCTCCATGAGAGGAAACCCAGGAGAGGAAGGGAAGGGGACAGTGTGGATCGATAGGAAAACTGATGCCAGGTCAGTGCATTACTCAGTGCAATGTGTCTATAATACAGCTTTTAAAGTTGGCCCTGAGCCTAAAACCTTTTTACCTATAGCCAGAGTGGACCTTACTGCACTGAGAAGGAGAACGCGGAAAAAGACTGCGAGGGAAAGAAATGCAAAAGGGTTTCTCCTGTTGAGTACGGCTGATGGCTGTGTTCTCATTTGCAGCTTCGTCATTTCTCTGTTTGGATGCTGTAGTGAGGCTGAAGGCAGTGTGTACTCAGCTGTTCTCTCCATCTAAATGAGAGTTTCTCTACCTCACCCGCTCATCTCTCTCCCTCTAGATGTTCTAATGGAACAAACGCTTAAAAATCGATGACATAACATCCTCAAGTCAGATGCAGCATCGCGATAAGTGTGCCTGTTGGTGAAATAGTGAGAAACAAATGAACGGCAGTTGGATTGCTCTGCAGTATCAAGGCTTGTTTGCTGATTTACGGTCTAAAATGTTCTTATTTTGCAAATGCTTGATCTTCAACTCAAAAGGCAATACAAATAAACGCTTCCCTTCCTTCATCATGCCAGTGACCACACTTACATGAGCATTATTTTCTGTTGAAAATCCAACTGAATATGGCATATGGAATATTGTTGCTGGACTAGTCTGAGCTGGTCATTAACTAATCCAAGATGGTCATTAGCTGGAAGCTACAAGCTGGTAGAATATCTTGGAACAGCAACAAACCACTACCGGCTGTTCATGCCAGTTTAATGTGGTCACGCTGGTTTTCAGTACATTGTAGTTGGTGATCCAACTAATAACCTGCTTGCACCAGCTAATGACCTGCTACTATATCATATATTATATTATATTATATTATTATTTTATATTATTTTCTTTAGTAAAAACAGTATTTTAATCACATCATTAATCCTCACCAGCATACAAAAGCGCTTTGAACTTCAAAATACACTCTAAATAATATGTAAATCAATCCGAAGGAATTTATAAATCATTCATTATATAATTTATAATGAATAAATAATTTATTTTTCACTATATATATATATATATATATATATATCACGCAGACATGAAAAAAACCCAGCAGATTTTCTCAAAAAATGTAGATTAATAAAAGAAAAAAAAAAGTAATCTGCCTTACTCATATTTCTAGAAATGGTTATATTGGCTTAATCAACTTTTGTTCAAATGTTTACATGAAGCATTTGAAATCTGGCAAATTCCAACTATAAATTCCACATGCATGTAAATGTGGTCAATGATGGAACTCCAAAGCCTTTGCTAAATTACACCAATTATCTGAAAGAGACTAAATAAAACCACTCAAAACTGTATATCTGAAATGACAAGCACTGTCTTGTCAGGTGAAAGCTCTTTTTAAAATTCAAAAATGATCTTTAAGTGGCCGCACTCCCATTAGAGTTTCATCATGTGACTGCCGAAAAAAAATCCTTTTCCTGCAGATAAGCGGAACTGCCCTTGAGCAAAGTGCTCAATGAACCATATCATTTCTCAGAGTCAGAGTATAAATTTTAAGTGCATTTTCTTTTTTATGTGTTAAAGGTGGTAGGGTCGTGCAGCTGAGCATGCAGAGTTGACGTCAATTTTCACAGGTCATATATATATACTTCTCTAAATCTGCTCCAATGAAGAAACAAACTCATCTACATCTTGGATGGGCTTAGGGTGAGTAAACTGTCAGCAAGTTATCATTTTTGGGTGAAAACTCACTTTAATTCCTTTAAAACTCGTTTCAGTAAAATTTTGTTCTCAACTCTAATCCTGAGGACCCACTGCTTTGCACATTTTGCATATCTTCTTTATTTAACACACCTGATTCACATCATCAGCTAGTTAGGAGAGAGACAGATGTTTTTGATTAGATAGTTTTTTGATTGGATAACACAGGTGGACCACACTCAGATTCTTTCCACCATTTACACAGACAATATGACATCTATTTGAATAATATCTGCCAGGAAGTAGGGATGTTTACAGTATGTGCTGTCTTCCAAAAACAAAACGAGATTTAAAGTGTTCTCCTATTGCATCAAGACTGTGAAACAAGACTGTTCCCCTTCGGGAACTCGAGCTGCGTCGGAAAACGCTAGGG